TTTTTTTCCAACTTTTTTGAATAGAAAAGATTTCTCCCTAATTTTTTTTTTGTGTGGACTTACTTAATAATTTTTTATTAACTTTTTTATATTAATTTTTCATTAAACATAAAAAATATTAATTTTTTTATTAATTTCTTAATAATTATAAAAAAATTAACAATTTAATAAAATTTTAACAAAATTTATCAAATTTTCTTACCATACTTTTTAAAATTTTATTTTAATTTGATCTTTACACTCTGATCTAACAGTATTAATCTTAAATTAATGAGATCACTTCCATAAATTACAATTTTGATTCTCATAAATTTTCTTCCCCTTTTCCTCATTCCCCTTTCCCTTCAAAAATGTAATTCTATTAAAGAACATTTTTTATATAATGTTTTTTCAACTATTTTCTCCAATAAAAATTTTCGGAATAAAGTCTTCCTCTGACCAATGGGCCCCATAAATGTTTGTCTTTTCCTCCATTTTCTTTAATAATATCTCCTCTTTAACCCATTGTAAATGAACGGCCCACGGGACAGAAGTCTCAAAAGTCACAACCAGGTTCAGCCTTCGCCGGCCAAACCATGGTCCGCTGACGGTACCCGATTCGCCCACCCCCCACTTTGAAGATTTTTAAAGATGCCCTCCGCGCAACACGTCTCATCACATCACGTGACATTTTTCGCATGCTCACACTCTGTTGTCCTCTAGCGTTCGGCAACTTCTCACCTCAGTTCCTCTCTCTCTCATCAGTTCATCCCCTTCTTTGTCTCCCTCCTGACCCTTTTTTTTTTAAATTTCTTTTCTTCACAGACAATCCACCCTTGTTCCTCAGGTACACTCCCAGAATTCTTCAATCTCATTTCAACTCTTTTTTCACCTTCGATCATCAAACTTTTTCATTTTCTTTAATTAATCAGTCAATTTCGGAAATTAATCTCTAGAGCATTCATCTGTGTCCAGCTGACAGCAAATCGTTCTCCGATGGGTTCATCAACTCTTATCTCTGATACCGATGCATGGAAGGACTTGAAGGTAAACATTTTATTATTTTTTAAAAATTTTATTTCTGTAATTTCTGGTTGAATTGTTTTTGTAATATAACAAATGTTCATAGATAAAAATGAAAAAAGAAGAAGAAGAAGGAATTGTTTTAAAATTTCTAATTTATCCGGTATTGCAGAGCCATGTGGAGGACATCAAGAAAACTCATTTACGTGATTTGATGAGCGACACGGCGCGATGCCAGTCAATGATGGTGTATGAACTCTCTTCTTTATATATATATGATATTGAATTGTTATGTTAATGAATACTATAATTTTGTTTTTATCTACAGGGAATTTGATGGCATGTTGTTGGACTATTCACGGCAGCGTGTCACTGTTAACACCGTGGATAAGCTCTATAAGTTAGCAGAGGTAAATTTGTTTCTGATTTGGTGTATTGTATGTAATAATGGACAATACAGTTCTATACTTTGCCTCACCTCTTTTTTCTCATCTCAGGCAGCTTATCTTAAGGAAAAGATTAAACGCATGTACAGCGGAGAACATGTAAACATAGCTTTCTCTCCTTCAAGTTTTCAGCTTTTTGCATTTCTTTCTTTTGGAAGTCAACTTTTAATCTCTGAAAAATTTGGCATTGAATCGAATTTGGATTCACTAACTTTCATGTTTTAGGTTTGTTGTGATTTTGTTTAGCATTTAATTTGACTGAAATTTTCAGATTAATAGCACGGAGAATAGGTCAGTGCTTCATGTAGCTCTTAGGGCATCAAGGGATGAAGTTATCTGCAGTGATGGGAAGAATGTAGTGCCTGATGTTTGGAATGTTCTAGATAAGATCCGAGATTTTTCTGAGAGAGTTCGAAGTGGTTCCTGGGTAATCAATCCTTTTTTTGTTCTTGATATCAAAGTGGAATATGTCATGCCTAGGCTAGATTTCTGAATAACTGGCATAACTTGGCAGGTTGGAGCCACTGGCAAAGCTCTCAAGGATGTTATTGCTATTGGTATTGGTGGCAGCTTCTTAGGTCCTCTATTTGTGCACACTGCTCTTCAAACAGGTTATGTTGATGCATTCCATTACTAAATGTGTAACCCTATACACTGTGTCTTTCTTTCTTGTAACCTGCGAAGTACGGACATAATAGACATTGGATATATATGGTTGTAATGAAATACAATAAGTATATGTTATCAAAATAAATAAGTACATATTTATATCTAACTTATTTGTTTTGTATGAAATACTAACAATTTTCACATTTTCCTTCTCATAAAAAAAAAAAAAAAACATAAATAATAATTTCTACATTCTCAATCAGTTAATATATTTATTAGGTTGGTTTTATCATTAGTTTCTTTTTTGATCTTTAAAATAGAATTTGCAAGTTTGAAGTAAACTCACTTCTTTGGCTAATTAGGAAAACTTAATTTAAGAATCTGGCGGAGAACTGAAGATGGTGGTTTTTGAAGTAAAATGTTTCAAGTTTGAATTTCACTAATATGATATTTTGTGAAATTTTCAAAGTCACTAAAATCGAAAATCAAAGGTTGTTTCACTAAAGGGAAAAGGAAGTATTTTTAATATATTGATGGTTGTTTTTCTGATGTCAACTAACAGATCCAGAGGCCATGGAATGTGCAAAAGGTCGCCAACTACGCTTGTAAGTAATAATTGTTACTAGAGCAAACCTTTTGGTTTTCTTCTTCTTCTTCTTCCTTTTTTCCCCCCCAATAAATCAAGCATTGAAGTGGCTCAACACTGTGTATAAACTCTTTATGAATCTTAACAGTTGTCATATGTCTATTCTTGTGTTTCTGTACTTTGTACAAAACACAAACTTTAAGACATTTTAGTATTGTACTTCTCACTTGACAAAGGTCAATGTGCTTGAAAATTGAAATGATGAAATTCATTTTTGTAAAAGGAGTGAATGGTATCATTCTTTTTTTTTTTCTTTCTTTTCATTTTAAGGTGTCTTAAAAGAGAAAAAGAAGAGAGAAAATGGGGGGCTTGTTTTTCGTTTTTCAGAAGAGGCATATCGATGTTAAAAAAGAAAAAAGAAAAAGAAAAAACAAATTGTAGATTTTCCATATAGAGGGGTATGATTTAACTTGATAGACAAGTAAAGAATGGACTGTTGTTTTAGTGGGAGGCATGTGCTTGGTGTGATTGTTGCACATTTAGAGTGTAAAACCTGCTTACAATGAAAAAATCAAGTTACATTGGATTTCTCTTGAATAGAAATTCATTCTATTCTCTTCTTTGGATTGGGCAGCCTTGCAAATGTTGATCCTACCGATGTTGTGAGAAGTACTGTGGGATTAAAACCTGAAACCACTCTAGGTAAATACTTTACTTACATTTCATTTGTTGCAAAAGTATATTTATGTGTGTGGTACATAAGAATCATTTTTTGATACTGGGTTATTGTTTGGTTTTCTTATAATTATATGCAGTTGTGGTGGTTTCAAAAACTTTTACAACAGCTGAAAGTATGTTGAATGCTCGGACAATGAGGGAATGGATTTCATCTGCTCTCGGGTTAGTTCATGATAACACTGGTGATGTAATTATATATCCACAGTCATAGTTACAGGTTCTGGTGGCATTGGACATGACTCATTGTTGGGATCAGTTTTTCACAGGAGGTTCCTGGATAACTTAAGAAAAAAGATAAAATTGAAATCTAGAGCTAGAAATGGATGCATACTAAGAACGAAAGAGGTGGTCTGGGCATCCCAAATATGTGAATTTTCACTTTCTTTCTTTACTATTAAATTGCTTGTTATTGGAAATATTGTTTCAGAACATCTGCGGTTGCAAAACATATGGTGGCAGTCAGTACTAATCTACTGGTATCAGTTTCTTGTATCATCTCTTATATTCAGTAATTTAGCATCTTCTGCATTCTTTATTACATATTCTATCATCTATATGCAATTTTGACTATCTTTTTATCCCATTTTCTAAGCATGATTATGATTCTTAGGTTTTTATTTACTTGCCCACTTGCACTTCACATTGCTTATTTAACCTGTCTCTTCCTAAGTGTTACATCCATCTGTGAAATTAATTTGACTTAGAAAACTTGGTGGCAAGCAGTCTTCTAATGCTGCCTCTATCTTGAAGGAAGGGAAATTTATTTGTAGTTCACATTTAGGCATTTATAATCATAAGTACTAACCACTGGCCACCACCTGTCTCTTTAACTGTAGTTTTTGTTTGTTTTTGATGCAGCTTGTTGAAAAGTTTGGAATTGATCCAAGTAATGCCTTTGCATTCTGGGACTGGGTTGGTGGCCGCTATAGTGGTAAGTTTCTTTTCTTTCTTCTAACCGTACCCAATTACCTTCTCCTTCTTCTTCTTCGTCTTCTTTTTTGGAGGAGGTCTTTGCAGTTAGCTTGATCTCTATTTGATAATAAGAATTAAGACTAAGTTGCGCTGGGGAAGATTATTGATTACTAAATAAAATGCTGCTTGCAGTTTGCAGTGCTGTTGGTGTTTTGCCTTTATCTCTGCAGTATGGTTTCCCAGTGGTAGAAAAGTATGGTAACTTATTACTGTTTTATTTTATTTCATTTACTTTTGATTCAATAATCTTTAGAATGTGATTTATAACATTATATTGGAGTGACTCTGTGCTACAGTCTGATTTTTGGGAGTTTAAAGAAAAGTTTTTGGCCTTTTGTTTTGTGGCCAAAGCAACAAACAAATAAATAAAAGGGCTTATTTTTTCATTTTGAGTGTAAACCAATCTCTTCAAATACATATAAGAAATAGAGAAATTAGAGGAAATAGAAATGGAAGGATATTTGCATTTTTTGCATGGGTTTCAGGGATTCTTAATGCATAGATTTGGAAAAAAAGAAAAAGAAAAAAGAAGGAAGATATTTTCATTCATCATTAGATTCATTACTTCAATTGCTGAACTAAACAAAGGCTGGTATTTTACCAAAAAAAACCTAAGGCTGGTACCATAGGATTTCCATCTGTAGTAGAGATAAATGTTTCACAAATAAATGATGTATGATTCACAAAAGGAGGTTCTAAGTTTTCACTGAGCTTCTAGTTAATCAGCCGGAGTAATATTTCTTATTTACTTAGTTTCTGTTTTGGCATTAGATTATTGTTTACTTATAAGATGTTCTATTCATTACTGGCAGGTTCTTAAAGGGGGCATCAAGTATAGATCAGCATTTCTATTCAGCACCTTTTGAGAAAAATATACCAGTAAGTGCCATAATAAACACAACCTAGACCATAGGTATGGTTAATATGTATTTTATAAAGTATACAGCTTAGGATAGTCTATTGATTGTACTCTATTACTTGTGTGGTTAGGACCTTAGAACACTTGAATAAAGTCATTCCACCATGAGCTATATTTCTTTTGGCAAAAGAAAAGCTATTTTACTACAATTTCTAAATGGATTTTTAGGTGCTATTTTTATCTTAGTGCTACTGAGACTGTTTGCAAATACTTCTTATGATTACCCTGGTGCCTTGTAGATATGTGTTCTTCTGTGCTTAATGAGGTCCCTGAATATATGATAACAATCTTTTGGCTCTTCAGGTACTTTTAGGTTTGCTTAGCATATGGAATGTTTCGTTTCTTGGATATCCAGCAAGGGTAAATGCTTCTGCTTGATTCTTGAGCTCCTCATTTTTTATTTGTGTTGGCTAACCCTCTCTAATACTTCTGAGTTTTTCTCCAGGCTATTTTACCTTACTCTCAAGCCCTGGAGAAATTTGCTCCACACATTCAACAGGCATGTTTCTATATACTTACAAGTTTATTCACGAAAGTAGAATTGAAAGAGAAAGTTGTTGTTCTCAGATCTTGCTAAATTTATTCCAATTCAGTTAAGCATGGAGAGTAATGGCAAAGGGGTGTCAATTGATGGCGTGCCCCTCCCATACGAGGCTGGTGAAATTGATTTTGGTGAACCTGGAACTAATGGCCAACACAGCTTTTATCAACTAATTCACCAGGTAACCCATACGTCCTATTTTGCATGCAACACCATGTAAGTCACATAAAAGCTTGGTACCAAGCTTAACGTGTCATCTTGAAATCTTCAGGGACGTGTAATTCCATGTGATTTTATTGGCAGTGCTAAGAGCCAGCAACCTATCCACCTTAAAGGTAAAACCTCAGCCTTTTTGGAGTGAATTTCTTTATCAGTTGCAAACTTGACTACCATATCTTGATGTTGTTATTTCTAAGCTATTCATTATTTAACTTAAGTTTTAACTTGTTTCTCAGGTGAGGTGGTTAGCAACCATGATGAACTCATGTCCAACTTTTTTGCCCAGCCAGATGCTCTTGCTTTTGGGAAGGTAAATTCTATGCTTATACTTCTCAATGCTACTTCTATCCTTATACCATAAAGCAAGCCATTGCCTTAAATCGTGATCACTCATTAGAAACTTTTGCCCCCCTCAGACACCAGAAGAGTTGCACAAGGAGAATGTTCCACAGCATCTCATTTCTCATAAGGTGCTTTCCTTTTTCAAAATTTGTACCAATCTTAGGTTTAAAGTGAGATGATCTTCCTAATTATATTATCTTCCAGACATTCTCTGGTAATCGGCCTTCTCTCAGTCTTCTGCTTCCAGCATTGAATGCTTGCAATGTTGGGCAGGTCAGTGGCTTTTCGTATCCTACTGCATGATGTTAGGAAAATATCATTTCTATTCAAAATTTTACTGTTTTGTCTAGCACATAAGTTTCCTCTTTCTTTCCTCAGCTGTTGGCAATCTATGAACACAGAATTGCTGTGGAAGGTTTTATCTGGGGCATTAATTCATTTGACCAGTGGGGTGTTGAGTTAGGAAAGGTACGTATCTCCTAAGCATATCCCATTAATGTTGGCCTTGATATATGCAGTCAGGCAATTCCAATACATGGCTTTTCCTCATCTTTTTGGGTGTAACCCTCTTGCGAAATGCTTTTCTCTTAGGCTCTTAGCATCACTCCTTGAATACCGGTTTCATGTTTGTGAATGCAGTCTCTAGCCACTCAAGTTAGGAAGCAGCTTCATGCATCTCGCACAAAAGGAGAGCCTGTTAAGGGCTTCAATTTCAGTACTACCACATTGTTAACTAGATACCTGGAGGTAAGGCAACCGAGCATTCCCTTAATGACAAGAATATCTAATCTTTTAAAGTTCTTTTAGATTTTGTTGAATATTACTCCATATTGTTTACAGAATACTGAAAATTTATATATCAATAATTGCAGGCAACTCAGGATGCACCTGTTGACCCTCCTGTTTCCCTTCTACCTCGGATATAACTGTTTTCCATGGATCCTCTGGCTTCTTGTTAGCTAAAATCCATGGTTGTGGCTGGATGTATGATCCTTCTTTGAGTTTTACCTTTTACAACAGAGCTTCAACTGATGCTTCTCATGTCTACAATTTTCCTGATGAATAAACCCCTGCAGAGAACTCAGTTTTGACTCTTGTTACAGAAAAAACAATGGATTCAAAGTTGGCGTTCTCTTGTTGCATGGATAATCTTTGCTCTTGACAATCGTTAGTCATCCATTATATATAAAGCCAGAAACCAAGAGTTTGTATCTTTCTAGTTGTTCCGTAAAATGAAAATCAGACATTAAATATCAGGACGTCCACTGTTGACATTTTTATGCCATGGTGTCTTGATTTTGATGTTCGTTATTGTCATACATACAGCATTTGTGCTGCATTATTGAGGTGCATCTACAAAAACCATGAAACATAAGATTAAAGATTATGTGAAGCAGTAAACCAGTGCTGGCCTAGAACAAAGATTGAATGGTGAAATGGTTGTTTTACGGTCCAAAATCTTAAGTACTCGCAAGCAAAGTGGAGGCATTAATAACTACCCAACCCAACAGGCCCTTCCCTCTATACATTAATAGCTCTAAACCCTAATTCCTCGCATATGATTACAAGAATATGGATGGCATCAGATGCCGGTAGATCCAAACCCGCCGGCACCTCTAACAGTAGAATCCAAATCCTCAACTTCAACAACATCAGGAGTCATGATCTTCTCGATAATCAGCTGTGCAATTCTGTCACCTGCTTTGACCTCAAAATCAACATCTGAATGGTTAAACAGTATAACCCCAACAGGTCCTCGGTAATCAGCATCAATCACTCCCGCACCCACATCAATTGAATGCTTCCAAGCCAAACCAGACCTTGGCGCTACAAACCCAGCAACAATAAAGAAAAACCCATTTTCAGCCTATATGTGTAAATTCAATTCAATCCATCTAGTCTAGATAGAAACAAAGATTAGGGTTTTTCCCGTACCAACGCGAGCATAGGTTCCTTCAGGAATTGAGATACTGAGATCAGTGGGGACGAGTGCTTTTCCTCTAGCCGGCACCTTGGCATCCGTCGCACTACACAGAAATAGAAATCAAAACACCATGAATTTCCATTGAAGTCGAAGAGAGGAGTACGGTGAATTGTGAACTCAGATTTACCTTGAAAGATCATATCCTGCAGAAAGAGGAGAGGCTCTGGATGGAAGAACGGCCTTCTCCGAGAGCTTCTTCACTTTCAAGAGCGGGACTGAACTTTGGGGAGCTTCGTGAGCACCGTTCTGGTGAAGTTTCTGGATCTTCGGCGACGGCTCTTCGACTTCGGGACTGCCATTTCCGATCTCCGCTTGTGCCATTGCTGAGAACCTTGTGACGGGAAGATAATCGGCATTCAAGACAAACAGTTTTGAACGGTTGGGGATGCGAGGGTTTGGGGATATATAGAAAAAATCCCGAGATTTACGGTCATTCCAAAATGATGGCGCCAATTGTTCCCGCCAACTTCCTTTAGCAGGTACAGTGATGCTCCGAACACACATTCCGATTCGAGCTCCCAAAATTTTCATTACACGGGTTAATGGGCCCAAATCCAAGATGATGACGACAACGTTTATTGTTGTTGGGCCCCACCCCAACCCAATAAATAAATAAACCAATAATGAGTGGGCCTCACCTGGGCTCTCCACTTCTTATCCGACGCTCTCTGGACGACCTTAAACTTCCCTCTTCCTGACCCGCAACGCCAACCACGACGAAAAAGCCAGAAATTCAGCCGCCTCCTCCACCGCCGAGCATGACCGGAACTTTCTGCTGCACAGCACAAGATGAAAAATAAAAGAGTATGAAGAGAAAAAGATCAAACCGGCTAAGTTAAAGCTGAAAATCAAGCATATTCTCTGGCCTTTTGCGAACAGAGACAATGCTCTGAGAGAATCTCGAGAAAGTGAATGGAAAATGAAGAAAAACTAGGGCAAAACGGTGAGAAATTTGTAAGGAATTGGGCTCAGCTGGGCTTTTGACAAGCTTTAGTAACGATCTCTGAGCCCAATTATTTTTCAAAAAAAAAAAAAATCTTCGAAATTATTCAACAGTATCCTGTAGCAGTGGCTAGGGTTACGGACTGTAGGCGTAAGACTTAAGACGACGGCAAAATGACACGACACCTTCTTCACTCAATATGGATACTCACCCTTCGAGCCCACCTTAACCTGCGCCGGTATAGGCGTAATGCGCATCCTTAACTCGAAGGTTAAAACCCTTTTTTGGTCCCTGAACTATTGTACAGACCCCCGATTTGGTCCCTGAACTAAAAAAATCCCTGATTTGATCCTTATTGTTTACCATTTTTACCCTGATTTGGTCCTTCCGTTAAAAATTGTGTGACGTGGCCTGTTATTTCACGGTTACCAAATGACATGTCATATAGTAATCCACGTGGAAAATAATATAGTCAAAAAATGATGATGTGGAAAAAATAATAATATAAAAAAATGTTATGAAAAATTAAAATTAAATTTTTTTTTTCTTTTTTCTTTTTTCTTTCTCCTTCTCCTTTCCCTTTCCCTTTCTCCTTCCCCTTTCCCTTCTCTTTTCCCTCGGAACCCAACAGGCCTAGGTTCCTTTGAACCCACCCAGGCGCTGGGTTCCTTGGGTTGGGTTCCTTCGAACCCACGCGCTGGGTTCCCTTGAACCCACGCTTGGGTTCCATGGAACCTGACCCTGGGTTCCGTCGAACCCAGGCATGGGTTCAACGGAACCCAGGCGTGGGTTCGCCACTGGGTTCTTTGGAACCCAGCGGCAAACCAGCTAGGTTCCATGGAACCGGACCCTGGGTTTCGTCGAACCCAGACATGGGTTCAACGGAACCCAGGCGTGGGTTCGAAGAACCCTGCACGCTGGGTTCCAGGGTAAAAAACATATATATTTTTTCTGTGTTTTCTGTGGGTTTGGTGTTTGATAATGATGAAGAAAGCAAGGCAAGAAAGAGAAAGGAAAAAAAAAGGGCGTTGTTGGGTTCGATTCAACCCAGGTGCTAGGTTTGTTTGCTCGGGGAAGAAGATGATGGCAAATTCGTAATTTTAGTGGGCTCCATTTTTGTTGGGTTGGGCAAAGACAGGACATGTCAGGTTGACATGTCATTATTTATTTATTTATACAACTGACGTGTCTCAAATGTTTGACATGTCATTAAGTTGTCGTGAGATAATGGTGAGATTTTAACAGAAGGACCAAATCAGGGTAAAAATGGTAAATAATAGGGACCAAATCAGGAATTTTTTTAGTTTAGGGACCAAATCTGAGGTCCGTACAATAGATCAGGGACCAAAAAGGGGTTTTAACCTATTAGGAAATATCAGCCAAATCCAACTTCTTTCCTCCGCACCACACCTTCGCGTGCACATTACGCAAAACATTATCTGCGTTACAACTTTCCTTACTAGTTTTAATATATAATTAATTATTTTTATTTAAAATTTTAATTATAACATTATATATAA